TTGGTACTTTAAATGAATGAATAAAGAACATCACATTATACAGTGTTAAGGGCTACATAAATGATAGCTATTGTCCCCTCAGGACAGGATTTCTCCCAGGCTCCTACAACCCCAATCACATGGTTGTAATTGAGTCTTCCCCAGGACAGGAGCTCCAGAAGGCCAAAGACAGAGGAATATTCACAGTAAACATTCCCAAGACAAACTACCTGGGACAGGAGAGCAAGAATCAAATGGGGAGAGGCAGAGGCTGTGGTGGGGGGAGGCAGTCAGTCCTGTGTCTTCCCACCCAGTGCAGTCCCTGGAAGAGCAATGCCTGCTGCTCAGTTGGCACCAGCCAGGAGCTGCACAAGGACACCTCCCTCCTGCATAATTTCAACTTGAACCACTGCGGCAAGATGGAGCCCGCCTGCAAATGGCACTTCATCCAGGACACCTGCCTGTATGAGTGCTCCCCCAACCTGGGGCCCTGGATCCAGCAGGTATGGGTCTCTCTCACCCGATCCCAGCAGGCTGTCCTCCAGCCCGGTCAAGGCTGTGGCTGCCGACATCCCTGCTGAGAGGAGCACTCCCTCCGCACCTCCCTCCCACCCAGGTGAACCAGAGCTGGCGCAAAGAACGATTCCTGAATGTGCCCCTGTGCAAAGAGGACTGTCAGCACTGGTGGGAAGACTGCCGCACCTCCAGCACCTGCAAGAGTAACTGGCACATGGGCTGGGACTGGACCTCAGGTGAGGGCCGGGGGTGGGGAGATGGAGGTGAGGTCTGGAGAAAGGAGGTTTGAGGGTTTGGTTAGGGAGGACTTCTGGATCTGGCCAGAAATGAGCTTTGGGTCCAGGGGCTGAATGTCTGCACCCACCCTCTCTCCCCTGGCAGGAGTTAACAAGTGTCCAACCAAGGCCACCTGCCACACATTTGAGTACTTCTTCCCCACACCTGCAGCCCTGTGTGAAGGCCTCTGGAGTCACTCCTACAAGGCCACCAACTACGGCCGAGGGAGTGGCCGCTGCATCCAGATGTGGTTCGATTCTGCCCATGGCAACCCCAATGAGGAGGTGGCCAGGTTCTATGCCTTGGCCATGAAGGCTGACCATGCTGTGACCCATGGGTCTGGTCTTCTCCTGCTCAGCTTGGTCTTCACGTTGCAACTCTGGCTCCTTGGCTGAATCCAGCCCTTTCCAGCCAGATGTCCCCTCTGCCTGTCCTCAGCTTTGATGCCAGGCTGGGCTCAGTTCAG